AGAAATGCTCTGCTCAGCTTCCATGCTGGGTTTTTGACTCCTAGATCATCTAGATCGACTCGCAGTGCTGTCCAGGATTCTAACCTCAGTTCTCATGAGTTCTGACCCTTTGGAAAGACATTTGGTCGGAAGCCTCCCACATTCCAAAGTGGTGGTGTTTTCAGTCTATCAGGGTTCCTGAGCAGTTTGGAATGTATAGACTTCGCACATTATAGGTTTGAATGTTTGAGAAAACCATGAGGTGTGAGAAAGTGTGATTGCCACACAGCAAAATCTGTACTATACACAACATGACCGAGGGCCAGCCACCAATGACAAATTCGTCCAAACCATCTACCAAATCCTCTACCCAAGTCGAAACCTGAAGGTCAGAATATCTTGACAAGTAATCATGCTTGGGTACCAAAAAACATTGGGTAGCTCATCAGCTCTGCAGTTTGCAGATGGATTTTCCAAGACCCTTCACTGAAACAAAAATCCGGAGGACCCACAAACACCATCAGTGCACATCATATCCACAAACCAACACTTTCGTAGTGCACATGTGTTCGTGGCCGGTCGAGCAGCATCACTGATGATCTTGATTGGCATCACAAAGTTCGTCGAGTGACCTGCCATCGTGTTTTTCTTTTTTGCGTTCGCCGCATGACCGCTCCAAGGAGCTCTTGGTCCCTTTTTGAGACCAAGTATAGGGAGGTTGACCAGCCCTATAGTCCTTTTGCCCATCCCATATGGTATCTACTACAGGGTCCTCACTTTAAGGTCTCTCAACCTCTCTTGGCAAGTAGGGAGGTCAGTTTGGTGCCCTATATCGGTTCAGCCCCAAGAAGTGTTGTTCAGCCCCAAAACTCTGATGGTGTGCCAAAAGCCAAGCCGCTCTTGGACCGTTCTGGCCGTCTTGATCATTCCCTAAGGATCCAGCCGTACCTTCTCAGGTTCGGCACCTGGACGGCACCCACCCCATGTCCCACCGTCTAAGAGGGTACGACTGGATTCCTACCAATGTCACTCCCTCTGCGCCTGTCTTGCTCAGCAGTCGGGGTATGTGGTCATTTCGCGAATTGCGGTGGAAGTGAACACGAAGTACCTGGTCCCCATCCCCGGCCTGTCGTGGACAAAACGCCCTTCCGGGTGGAGACCTTGTAGCAGGGACATTCCTCGGGAGCATCGGTGCCACATCGGTCCGGTTTGGACATCGGGGTGGAGCCTGAGTGACCTTGATCTTTGGACATCTTTGGACCACCAAGCACCCCCAAAAAAGATCGAAGATCTGGCTTTTTCAATTCTTACAGGTCAAAACGAATATATGAAGTCGCGTGCCCAAAGCTAAAGAGTAGTGGCCACCATTCCATTTTCTTGGCTATTGGCCTAGCACAAGGCCTAGCATGGGGACTTTATAAAGGGACTTCTACTTGTCTGATCTGAAAATTTGTTCATTCAAGGATGATACACATCTTCTCAGCCCACCACAGTGGCTCGGGGTGGGGGTTCGGAGGTCGATCTTGGAGCAGTGTTTAGAGATATCAAGAGATTCAGTGAACAATTTTCGCTTTCTTGGAGGCCCAAACAAACAGAAATAGGTAGTTATTTCTTCCTATATGGCAAATGAGATTCTTTGCATAGGAAGTTGCCTTTTTTGGGATTTTTGGGGGGACGACACATCCATTTGTTTCTGGATGTTGTGTTTCCAGGTACGAGTGCTAGGAAGGAAAAGATCTTTCGCCAAGGTTTGCTCAAGCGAAACCAACTCGTGCAGCTTCCATCAGCAAGAAACACAGGTGCCGTTCCATCAGCAAATCAGTGGATGACCTGGTAACCTGCAAAATGCTGACAGTCACCAGTTCTCAAGAGATCTAACCCGTTTCGTTTCTTTTGGGGTGTCCTGTCAACCTCTGACTCTAGTGCAGGGATGTCCAGGTGACCTTGCAAGAAAGCTGGTACAAGTAGAGGTCCAATAAGATTTGGACCCCACTCATACAAGCCCTGCGTCTGGTTTCCTTTTTCTTTCTCAGCCTGTCGGACTGTCGGGACGTAAAATATCATGTTGATTATATATTCTCAAGGGATTTGAGACAATCCAATTCCAGTCCGAAGGTCACGATGACTATCTGCAATTACGCTGGAAGTCCAAGACCATGTTTGAAATGGTTGATCTAATTTTGCGGTGTAAATAAGCCCTTAGTAAAACAATGGTTGTTCGGGATTTAGGCGATTTAAAACATGGTGGTTCGACTTCAATGAACTACGTGACTAGCGTGAGGCAGGCAACATACAAACACATTTGCACAAGTCCATGCGAGACGCAGCCTCTGGGCCAAAAACACATAACAACCGGCTTTAAAGCTTCACAGAAACATACATAGAACATCATAGAAGCAGAACATAGAAACATGAAACGGGGTGTGTGGGGTAATCAACCTCTTCCAATTGCATCTCAAAAAAGGTCCTTGGACCTTTTGAGGCCCCCAAGACCCAAACCCAGCCATTGGCAAGATGCGTAGTGAGCGAAGTCCCTCAGGGCAGTCTTCTCCTGAACCAAAAACAGTTTCAACAGCTCTTAGCCACCTTTCCAGAGATTGACTCCCCCCCTGCCAAGGGCAAACGAGAACAACATGGGACCCCTGCATCTGCTGGTTTGAATGAATGTTTGCCACCGACTTCCCTGCAGATTTACATGGGAATGAGGACCATGGTCTTCCACCAGCACGGGTCAAGTTGAAAACAGGTCCATGGGATCGTTCAGGTCACCTGTTCTATGTCGATTCATGCAACAAACGGCTTCTGGAATGGACAAAGCATCTGGATTTGATGATGTTGGCACTGATTTTGGCCCATCTTTCGCAACCTCCGGCGCTGGATGTGGGGAAGAACCCAAGCAAGCGGCTGGTTGCCGGAGATCTGAGCGCCGGACACATGGCATCAAGTGTATCAAAGGAACACTGGCCTCAGCGCATCAACGCTGAAGGTTGGTGCCCCCTGGTCCGCGAAATTCCTCGGCTTGGTGGGTTTTTCGCCTTTTTTGGTTCACCAGGTTTCCCAAGTCCGATTTGTTCGTGACATCGGGGGGGTGCCCTGTAGCTCCCATGACTTGAAAGTGAAAGGAATGACCCGCAGAGTTGCACCAACCCGGAAGGTGATTGGACACATACCGGAACACTCCCTCAAATGGAATCGGAAGCAACGCTCACCACCTGATTGTAAAGGAAACAAACATGTTTATTAGCTCCTTTCGAATCCAAATTGTCTAAGTCATATTGTCCTGGCAAAAAAAGAGCGTCCCCAAAGGCCGTGACCGAAAAGAAACCAAATGGAACTCCATGTGCCATCTACCGAGAACATGGGCAGGTGAGTCGGTCTTGAAATGGCTGCTGGAATTTTGGAGCATAACTTAAATAGACGCCCAGAGGAGCACTCAGTGGAGTATAGTGACATCCACTCGGAATTGATCCTGGAGACCAAAAGCAACCAAAACTGGATGACTGTTCCAAAATGGCACTTGAGATATCTTGAGATCCGTGACGTAAGAATTGGCTGTCTGTTAGGAGAAACTATGCCTGTTGTTTCTGCTTAGGATTGGGTTTCTAGGTGGTCACCAAATGAAATCCAACGGTGGATCGTTCCTGGTGCCCGGTCTGATGCTTAGACTGCATCCATCCTCTTGTCATGCCAAGGTGCATAGAGCACCTTCGGCTCTGACTCTGCCAACTTCCACTCGTTCCAATCCTCAGGTCTTCGGGTTGCCCAAAACAAACGAGGAGCAAACAAGGACGCTACTAGGAGCAAAGGGCATCGCTACTAGTAACAAGAAGCTATATTACAAAAGTTAAAAGATTGGTGTTGGAGCAAAAGTACCAAAACAAACGAACCAGTTTTTCACCTCCCCCCAAAAGAAAAACAACCACATGCGCACACAAACCTTCCGTTTTCCAATACACATGGTTTCCCGCGGACAGAAATCTGAGCTCTTTGAATGTCTTTTGGCCCCAAGCAAGCCCAGAACTCTCCATATATAAAGATGTTTTTCAATCCAAATGCGCGGGGATATTCATCAAGAGTCTACATTGAGGCCGGTCTTCCTGTCCAAGGCTCCCATCGACAGGCTTCGAAGAAAAGGCCATAGGTGTAAACACCATCCTCCGGCTTCTCCGTGAACTCCTGCTCCTCATAGCCAGCCAAGCGCACGGTGCATGTGTTCCGCACAAGCCAATCAAAAACGCTGGTTCGGCCCCCGTGAACATCAGCGAAGTGTCTTGGACGAACCAGGGCGGCACCGATGGAAACGAAGGGATCTATGGTTGTGCCGAACCGGCCGGGGGGGGCCTTGATGCCCGGTTCGAATCCTGCATGGAATCCCAACCAAAGGCTCCCAACTGAATGGCTTCTTCCGCCTTCCTGTGCAAAAATGATCATTGTGGGTGTCCTATGGCTTCCTGGGAATGAGCCCACCAACTTCATTATAGTAATTATCCATGGCATTCCATGGTCCAAACAAGCCAGGTCATTCAGGTCCTATTGCTTCCGCAGGAGCCCAAGCAACACCAAACGCACTGGCACGCCTTGGGATAGAAGAAGTCGAAGGTCAAGGTGTCGATGGGTATCTTGTATTTCCGCCTTGGGGCGAGCAGCGAGCGGAAAGAAGCGGATGGCGTGAAAGAACAAGCTCCAAAGAAGCAACCCGCATAGCAGGCGCTAAGCTCTGTGTTGTTGAGGCTGGACTTGTGCTTCTTCCACAGCCAAGCCATCCATGGGACTCAAAAATAGCCATACTATTTTCTGCCCATCCAAATGACTCAACCATCGTGGCGTAACTCTTCCAGTCCTATGAAGAGTACCTACACGGTGCGACTGGACTAGCTGATCAGCAAGTGCATGGTGCAATCCGACAAAAACCTAACACCATCACATGGAATCCTGTAAGTGGAGTGTCCACCCTGCATCCAAGGGTTCATTGCTCACTTCCATGTGGTCGGAGGGTATATTGAGTGGACTTGTCAGGGCGTTCAATCAATCTCAAGCATGCGGCCGGCACATTTGGCTTGGCAGTTTTGACACCAAAACACTCTTGGGTCGCGTGGGTCGCACAGAAAAAATGCAAACGGTTCTTCACACATCATGGAGGCAAAAGCTTCAATACGGCCAGTGGGAACCATGTTATAAAGACACAGGACACTCGTCACGTGACGACGACGTGTTCTTCCCAGTCCTCTGCCAGGGTATCCAAGACACGCAAAGTTCTGCGAAGCGCCAGTGGTGAAGGCTTGAGTGAAATAGATTCCACTGAACCAGAACATCACCGGCGCTCCGTTGTCCACCCATTTCCTGGGCAAAGCATAGATGGAGAGCTCATCTATGAGGGTCTTGCATTGTTTTTGTGCGTGGAAGCTTGCGTGGAACCAGGGAAGCCACTCATGGCACACCAAGTAAAAATGCACGATGTGCACCAGAATGATCATCTTGGAATCTGGCAAGGAGCAAGGAAGCCAGTTGAAAGACCCTCCCGATTGCCTGTAGACTCTTGATCAATAAAGCACCATATGGACCTCTTACTGCGGGGGGGTTGTTATCAAGAGCCTAGATTAATGCGTATGTTTCACCTTGCCTGCCCCTGAGAGCAGGTTGTTGATGTGCATGTCGAAAGAATCTGTTCTTATCTATTTTCTCCCATCCAAAAGAGCATGTCTTACAAACCCACCCAGAGTGGGCCGAAACACGCAAGTTCTTCGGCCTTTGCCCCACGATATATCCGATACACACCTGCAGGCTAACAAAGAAAATGTCCCACCTGATAATTACCTGAAACTGCAAATGGCTGAATCTTCCTGATCGTACGGCCGTGGCCATTTTTTTTGTCATTACGGTTTGCTGTTATTTCTTGATGTTTTTGGTCATTTCCGGGAAAAGGCCAAAATATGTCTTGGGCGTTTATTGGGTTATTTTGTTTCTTTTTGGGCGTTGTTCGGGTAGTATCCATATTTGGGTCAAATATGCCCAAAACAACCAGCGATTTCAGTCGTTTGACTGACATTTTTTCTGGTCATTACGGATAAAGCTGAACTTTGACCATATTCCCTGGTCATTACGGCATATTCGCAAAATGGCTGGAAAAAAATCAGGCAAACGCAACTCCAGGTACATAATACATATTAATTTACACACTATGAAGCTCCTTCCAAACCCACCGCACACATCCTCCGCCAAAACAGAGTGGATATCTGAACTTGATGATTCTGATACCGCCCTCACCTTCTGTGGTCAAGAGTTGCATGACGTCGACGATTTGAGCTGCTCCTACTTCGGCCGGAACACTTGAGCAAACATATGATGATCGAAATGTATCGTTATCAATTGATCTGCCCAGAATGATGTCCAGCTTCTTGCCAAGACAAACCCCCCTACCCCAAAAAGGGTTATATAAATTATCTTTTTCAGTTGCTCTTGTCCGGTCTAGATCGTGGCTTCCGTGAGATCCGCGGGCTTGGACCAGGCCACTGGAAGAACTTGAGCCGCTCGACCAGGTCGTTGATGTAGCCACCCAAGGGCTTCCTGAAAACCAAGGAGTTCCGCAGGAAGGAACTCATGGCAGTGGATCATGGCACCGGCAAACACTGTTTTTTTTCCCACCGATGAACGGAATGGACTACTTCGCACATGGTCAACATATATGGTCAACCTACCTTAAGCGGCCAAAGAACAAACACCCTCACCCGCCCAAACAGCCGCATTGCCCGCTGCGCATGTCCCAGCGGCAGGGAGGGATAGGAGTGCTTCAGCCACATGGCCGGCGTCTTCCCGTCGAAAATCTCGAAGAAGGCCGTCTCCAGGTTGGCGCTCATGAGCAGCAAACCTCCGGAGCAAGCAGCTGGAGATTCCGAGATGCCAGCTACGCTTGGATGGGAGAAGTTTGCCAACATCCGCGAACGCCTTTCTCCGATGGCAAGCATCCGGAAAAACACCTCGGTAAGAAGGGGGTAGAATTCCAGCATGTTTTTTAGGAACGATGTTTTCTGCTGTGTGGCGAAATGGCTTTGATGGAGGGATTGAGTCGTTAGAATCTAGCCAGGTAGGAGGAAGCTCCCGGCTATCACATTAGTGCCAGGTGGGTCTTTCAGTAACGGGACGTCAGGAAATGTCAAGAAGTTATAAGCAATACGCCTGGGCATATCAAGCCTTTCTTCGTGCCAGGTGGGGCAAGTGGATCTGACGCCATCTTTTCTCACAAGTTCTATTTTCCAAGTCAGTCTGGAGCTAGTTACAGCTAGTTTGGGAGGCGGCTTCACCGCCACCCACCCGCAGCGAACTCGCACTTCCCTGCCTTTGACCGCCTTCTGGATATCCTTCAGCGAGCCCTGAATGGCCTGCGCAAATCCGCATACTGGGAACTGCAGTTCTGTCGACAACTGGGAGGTGCTTGGAATGAAGGGAATCGCCAAGTCTGGAAATCTTCCGAATAATCAAGTTGAGCCAGCTGTGCGAAAAGGGTTCATCTACAACTGACATGACCGGTAGGAAGCAAACAACCATCAAGCACTATCAAGCAAACAACCAGGTCGCCTCTTTCTTTCTGCCTGACGAACACAAAATCGCCTCCAACACACCTGGTGTTCACCACTAAAGTGACCATCCGGCCACACCACGACCCGTTGACCGACCCGAACCGGTGACCGCAAGCTGCTCCAGAACACCCACAACTGGGTCAATATGCCAAGTCCCACTACAAGCCCTATAGGGATCCAGTACTGGATCCGTTGTCACCGGGACCCGACCCGACGCTTTGGCACCGTCGACCATGTCGACCCTCATGTGTCTCCGTCCTCACCGGGCCGGTTCGGTACGAAAACGGATCCCTTTCCGGGAAGTACTGACTCCTTTCCGCCGCTTTCTCTGGAAGTTCTGAAGCTTCACCGAGCTGTCTACCTGTTCGAAGCTCTCTGACTGGGACACCCGTCTCACTGAAGACACTCTGGTCTGTACCTGTTCTTGAGTGGGACACCCTCCCCACTCCCCCCAAACTGCTGGTGACCTGCAGATGATCCACCTACTTTCCGACCACATGGGCTCAAGACCGGCCTTCAGAAGACCGTTGAAGCGTTTCAGCTCCTGTGCCAGCACGGTGTTCATGCTCTCCGCGTAGAGGGTCGGATAAATCTCCTGCCAGGTGGTCATGGCACGCTGGTCATGGTCACCGTCCACGGTGGCACCCATGGCACGGCACGGTTGACCCGGTCGGTCGTGCGAAGAAGTCTGCGAACATCACTCCAACTGTTAGGCCTAACCGGGCGGGGGGCTGAGAGAGAGACAGATCTGCCCAGTACCCGAACCGCATTGCAACGAAGCTCTCGCGAGAGTCACTGACCTTTTGGATCATGGCTTCTAGTAATGGAATTGTTGCACAAAGAATGGAATGTCGTCGATGACTTCCAGCAGCCCCAGTCGACATGGACATCTACATTTTCTGATGATCGGTGAATTGATTGGACGGCTCATCCCATGAAAAAAAGAGTGGATGGTGACTGCTAGCGATTCCACGTGATTAATCTATAACATCCCTATAGGGCTCCAATGGGCTCCAAGCACCTCCTCAGAGGGTATTTGGACCTTCTCAGAAGGTTCTTGGAGCCCTAGGGATAATAACCCCCTTCATTGTCGGGTTGGATGCTTTCTATACACTTTGGGCCCTATGAAATGGCCTAAAGGGGTGGATTTCCTATATAATGCAAAACAGTGCAAAAACCATCCAAACTATAAAATGGGGATGGTGGATTCTGAGCATTCAACACTTGCAAAACCTTAAGAACAACACCAAGATTCAGAGTGTGCACCGCATGGGTGCCCTACAAAATGAGGGTCAAAATTGGCTAATATAGCACAAAAGGATCGGCAGATCGGCATTTTATAGGCGAACACCGGTGGGGGTTGGGATAATGATTAACGAAAAGTTGTTGATTTGTTCACCTGCAATGAGGATCTCCTCCGAACACCTGCCAGGTCACCAATCCCCCCAAAATCGGTGAAAGTTTGCTGACCACGCCCGATCTGCATTCCCAAACAGCCACGAGCAGTACGGAACCAAGGCTTCTTTCAGTCTGCGTCTTGAGTCTTTGCAGTGGTTACCTAACATAGTTGGAACATGGATCCACAGGGAACGTTTGCCTAACATCCCGCATATTTGTCTTTCAAAAGGATCTCTGAACCTAAGGTGGATCTTGAATTCACAAAATCCTGAAGGTCTCTGACAATGTCCTTCCTTCCTTTCTCGCGCGCGCGGGGAAAGCGCAGAAGTGCCTGGACCTTGGCCACATCCCAAGGCTCCGGCAGACGGCTCAGCACGTCCTGGTGACACAACGAAGAGACGCACAGCAAAGGAATGCAATCGATGCCCTACATGGCATGGTCCCCATATGCCCCCAATTTTTACATTTGGATCTTTATCTATTCTCCACGCTAGAGGCTACAACTGCTAATCGATCACTTTAGTTCATGTTAGCCACTGTTAGCCAAGCTCGTCACAAACGGCCGTTTTCATCTGAACCGTTACCCCACTCATACGGCGCACGCGAAAATTCGTCCGCGCCACGGACCTTTGCAATCTCGCCCACCACGATGTCAGGGGAGGAGCCACCAGAAGAGCTGGAGGAACCAGCCGTCAGCAGCAGTTCCATCATCATGTTGTAGGTCTCACCCATTTCCTGTTCACCGTGACTGGGAGGGAAGTGATTTAGAGCCATTTCCTAGGGATCCAGTCGTACCTTCTCAGGTACGGTGATTGGAGACACTGTTATGTAGGTTTGGAGGGTCCAAGTACCTTCTGAGAAGGTACTTGGATCCCTACGGATTCAGAATCAGTTAGCCCTCCTGTTCTTTCACGTGGCTGGGATGGCACGCTGAAAGAAATCCTCTTGGACACACAGCACATCTGGCAGAACCAAAAAAACGCACAACTCTTTCACCAAGCTGTAGTTGAAAACTGGGTGTACCTCATATCATATCACTAGTGAGTTGGAGAAAGGGTCCCAAATGTCCCAAAATGGAAAAGATTCGGGCTCACTTGCTGCGATGAAAGGCCTCACCCTGGATATATGATGCGAATCTGTCCAAAACTATGAGACCAGGTGAATCTGCTGAATCGAAAGCTATACATTTTGGGCCGCCAGTTCTCACCCAGGTCTCCCCGAAAAGGCCCTCGATTTGGGGCAATTTGGTGAATGGGGAAAGTATGAAAGGGCTCAACCAAGGAGGAGTTCGAAAGGCATCTAAGTATATCAAAGTAATAGAAGATTATCTCAGGCCCAAGAGCTTGAGGCATTGGCATGCGAAACCATTAGTACGTACTGAAAGGGATCTTCACACCGGGGCACCGGCGCAAACACCGGCCACCAATGTCGGGGCCCCGCACCTTGGTGAGGTTGGCATTCTCATGGAAGCCAAAGACGCCCGGAGGCGTCACCAAGGGCAGGCTACCTCGGCAGCTGGATGGTGACGAGGCGAGGTTTCTGCAGAGGCGACATGGAACCAGACCGAGATGGACTGGGAGGAGGGGTCTTATGTCCAGGCAAGGAAAAGGCCATTCAAATGAGGTGCTCTCTGAGTGCGAGCCTACCCTTCACCAAATGGCTGCGCCAAACTTCCGCAGCTCACCTTCCGCACTTCTTCCTTCGCCCTGTTGAACCCCCCAGCCGCTGGGGATCCCAACGGATGTGGTCCAAATGTTCCTCATAGCCACCCTTGGGTGGTGGCACATAAGTGGGTCCATTCGTCTCCTGGTAGAGCACGAAGTCATCGTTCAGGGCTTCCTCCACAGGAGCTCTCTTGCGGGAGTAGTTGGGTCAAGTTGGCCTGGCAGGTGGTGGTGGTGGTGGTGGGGGTGTGGAACCGGCGGTGTTGCAAGAGTCCATGTTTTCGGAAAATGCCAATTGATTTCCCAAAAAAAGAACAGCTTAAACGACATGAAGTAAGGCAGTGATGGAGCAAAACATCAATAACACCCCACCCTGGCAGTTCCACCTTTTGCACCGATCTCTTCCCGTTCCAACCCACCCACCGCTACTTCTTCTCGGCGCGCGGACATCTCCTCGCAGTAGTAGCTCTTCAGCAAGGTGGCCAACAGTCGTCGATCCATGGCTTCGGTCACGCGGCCGCCGTAGTTGCACTCGCCCGTCAAGTAGTTCAGCGCCTCGCCCGCGCGCGCGCGCGCGTAACACGTCCGTCGGTCGTCGGTCGTCGGCGCCGTTGGGTTTGGGTCGTCGCGGTGTGTGTGTGTGTGTTTGTTGTTTTTGCGGATGAAAAGGCGATGTTTAGGAGGGTTCTGGGCTGCATGAAGGTACAAGTACAGTGTACAGGCACGATCAATGGACATCGTGTAGGTGTGAGGCTCTTACTTGGTCGGATGGAAATCTAAACAACAAGAACTGAATACATGGCATTGGCTGGTAGTTAAGTAAAGTGATGAGGAATAATATGGAATAATACCGTGTACGATCCTATCTCGGACTAACATGGAAGTAGCCAATGGCATCAAGGAATTCAACTTTTCTCTACAAACAAACAGGTGTTTTTTGATGTCAATGGTAGCGAGTCGGAGGGTAGTTGGGCAAGTCAGCCCAAACCTTGGACGATAAACTTTAAACGCGTGGAAAGACATCGCACAACATAAACCAACAACAAATAGGGCATGTCTCAGTAGCAGGACAAAGTAACTCCAAAGCCAAAATGTGATCTCAGAAGTCCAGAAAGATCACAAAAAACATACAACAACAATCCTAAATCAATGTCTCCAAATGAGTGTGTTACATGATATGTTACATGTGATGGACCAGCTTTAGACCGGTAAAATACAATTCCGCCGTTCATTGGTTAGAGTCTCCCACACTCCCTGAACTGGCATGGCCAGTTCAAGGCCGACCAAATAGATGATAAACTCCACCTCCATGATGACTTCAGGAAGTGTGCTTCTTGTTTTCATCCAATAGCTACTCCTTCTACTTGGACCACAACAACAACCAACCGTGCCAGCAGCTATGCCTGCAGCTATGCGGGCTTGCGGAAATCACATGTGGGATCATTGGAGTTCGCAACATGTTGCGACATGTGTGGGGAGCATGTTTCATACCAGGAGTCACATGTCGGGGTGGTGTTTAGTCCTTAAGTGAGTGGATAATGGGCACCCCTAACCTCCATTAAGCACCCTTTGTGACTGCTGGTATGTTGCTATTATGTGTTGCTGTTCCATCTTGTGTTGCGATTCTTAGAATGTGGGGAGCATGTTCTAGATGTGTTGCGACATGGCGACATGTTCTAGATACCAGGACCATCCGTTTGAGGTGCCTATTGCTCGCCGACCTAAATCGCCTCTTGGAGGTGAGTCGGGGGTGTCCAAAAAGCCACCGGACGAACGGTTTCGGTCCTGGTCCCATTCCCTGGGCCCAGTGGATGATGGGGCCGGAAGTTGCAGGCCTTTTCATCTCTAGGTTCTCGTGAGGTTCTTGTTTACCTGGTTCTTCAAAGTGACCGTACTTGATAACCTGGTTGTTTCGGTCACGAACAAGCCTCCAACAGGGTCACTGGATGGCACCTTCAAAAGCTCACGTACTGAAGAAGCTGGTACAGACTGTTACGGGCCGCGACGAAGGGGAGCGTCGCATTAGGACACGCCCCCAGCATTGCGCTGGCGCTGGCGGATTCTCCCAGCTCGCTCGCGACGGATTCGGCTCGGGACCATGAGCCTTGATGGGTGCTTCATTGGGATACTCGTCCAGGAACATCTGAAGCTGCCGCACTGAGATGCGCAAATCGTTCTCCGTGAACCTACAGTGCCGAACGTCGAACGGGATCATCTACTGCGATCGGCAATGCATGGCAATCACTATGGCAACCCGGGTCAGAAGCAACATGTTCCACTTGGCTAGACTTAAAACAGCACAAACATGGGAACAAACAGTGACCAACAAAAAAGAACATATGAAAACACATGGAAACGCAAAAACATGACACCTTCCTGTATCGGTTGAATTTTTGCATGTTTTTGGAGGGTATATATATAATATATATATATACATATACCTGGAAACCCGTATGATCAGTTTTTTTGCTCACTATGGCCTCAAGCCGTATTGACCGTTTTTTTGTGCATATGTCGTATATGGGCACGGACATCTCTCTGGGGGACTCCATGTTGTATGAATGGGAACTGTATACGAATATGGCCGTATACTGGCCATATTTGCATGCATATTTGGGGGTACCCGTATGATACTAGTATTTTTTCAATATAATATATGTTATTGAAAAAACACCGTAACCATATTCCAACATACTAGTGCGAATACTGCGTTGGAACACCCGAATATGGTACCCTATTGAGGAAACCGTATATGCCCGTATTTGGGCAAACCCCGTACTGTAATGACAAAAAAAAATGGTCAAATGCCGTATGACCAAAAAAAATGAACATACTGTTTCTCAGGTATATATATATATATCTCTCCTTGACTAATTACTTCTCTACTTCTCTCAAGTTCGCTTAGGTCCTAGGTGGCTTCCCTCTCTCTCTCCCCCTCTGTCCTCTCTTCACAGGAATGGAGAGAAGCCGCGCCCCAAGCCACGCGGGTCATGGGCGGGTCATGTGTGCAAGGTTTGACATGGTGCTTATCAAGTGTTCATTACGGATGGCATATAGGCATATAAAGATATATAGTATCTCAGACTCCTTTGCAACCATCAGTGGCGGCCTAAAGTCATTGGATATTGCTTCTGTTGCCCCTTCTGTCTTCGACCATTCTCTGATCCACCCGACCACCCGAATCGCGTTCGCTCCCTTTCTCCGGTCGCTCGTCTCTGGTCCGGGTGGCTCGTAGGCGATGTTCCAGCCCAAGGGTCCGAAGAGACGACGCTCCTGGAGGATGACATCGAAAAATCCCTTAGACCAACCACTGGGTTATAGTGGATTGAGAGGACCAATGGCACAGACCCCAAATGTCGGTGGTTTATATGAACCCCCATGTTTTCAGGACATCTTGAGGTCTGTGCCATCTACTCACTCTGAAACCACTGGGTTAACCGGTTGGTCATTCGGAAAATGGTCGAAACCAGCCGGTGGCGAAACAATGCCAAAAGGTTCCTTTGTTTTTTCTTGAAGAAGCTCATGATGAGGGAGACTCTGTATCCATAATGATATTCCATCTGGTATGATGACACATAAGTCATGCAAAACAATGGGAGGCTTCGAAGGATCCCCCCCAACCATGTAGGGGGAATAGTTACCCACATTGAGGTCATACATGGGATAAATGTATGTATTTATTCCATACATGGATGGCTTGGCAATAACAATAGATAGTGCACATATATGCTTCACGCACTGCGACTGAAAGGAAATTTGTCATCAACTATTTATCCATTGCCCTGCGGTGTTTCTGTTGGTGCGGGGTTCTTTAATCCATCAACATCAAACGGGAACATAGATGATGTGCGCATATGGTGAAAATACTTGTGAACATGGTGCATGCCCAAAAGACCAATATAGTAAGAGTAAACGTTTTAGTGACTTGACAAAACATCGAAAAGACCTCCCCCAAAAAAGCACAACCACCACCACAACAACATGAAAACGCAACGCTGGGCGGTAGACTGTGGCTGACTATACTCCTACGCATATGAAGTGCCGACTTGGCTCCTGAATGACCGCATGGAAGAAGCACAGGTTGAAGCACAGCCCTGAGGTCGCATCAAGCGTGGAAAAGGCGGCGACCGCTGTGCGACAGCTGAATGGAGCACAGAAACACCGCAGCGGTCGAAGGAGGTGTGCTGCGTAGTTGGCGTCGTGTTCTTCAGGTGGGGAAGGGATGTAGTTCTTCTTCAGTCATGTCATGTGTCGGGCAGGGCATGCTATATAATGAATTGTAGTGAATTCAATGACTTTAAGCAATCACCTATCCCTACCAGAACCAACACAGGTGCACGCCGAGTCACGCTTAAACTGATGATCGCAGGTGCACGCGTTGAAGAACTCCTGCCACCGATGGGTGAGAAACAAACGTGACATCCTTTACGGGTGAACAAAAACACGTCATCACTGCTAACCCTAGGGATCCAAGTACCTTCTCAGAAGGTGATTGGACCCTCCAAACCTACATAAGTTACATAAGAGTGTCTCCAATCACCTTCTGAGAAGGTACTTGGATCCCTACTGCTAAGATCTGCTTGAAGACGACCCTGAGTGAACCAACTTCCCCGACACGACAGACTGGCATATGAGCCATATATTGACCCCAGTATTTGACACAACCCCAACTGATTGGTAAACATGACAGTCCCATGGGTGGTGGGTTTTAGACCCTCCAAAAGGATCCGAAAAATAGATTCAAGGAGATCCCCACTAAGAACGTATTGGAAAGCGTGCCACTATCCATTTGATGACCACAACCACAAAGCATCGCAAACAATCTGATCAAACTTCCTATCAGACCCAGGGGTCATGTCTGGGTTCTAAGTGTTTCTGGTGGCCTTTTGCCAGGTGTGAAGCGCTTTCAGAGATGTAAGAGTCTCGACTGAAAGTGGGCTCTGATCCACCTAGATGAGACGAACACTTGCGGCTCTGTCCGCATCAACCCCCGTCACGACACACCACATGCGAGTCTGAGACCTGTCAGCGTCAGCGGTGTTTTCTGAGACCTTCCGAAACCAAGAACATCCAAAAGTCGAAGGGCCGGGCTTTCCAACAAAAAACATGCCGTTTCTGGCGTTTCTGTCCAAACCGGAGGGAGAAAAAAACAAACACTTGAGCACTCTGACCCGGCCGGCGTGGGTCGCCTCATTGCTGATAGGGTCCATGTTGTAGGAGCCCGTCATGTTGGCACGCAAGCCCTTTGGCGCTTCGTTGGTCATCTTCACTCCATTCTGCAGAATCGCGACTGGGAACCTCGCGAGGTTCGGGAATCCCGCTCCGATTCCCGTCGCCCGTGGTGTTTTTGGGCATGAAGGGCCAAACAGGTCACCACCAAACGCACATCAACAGCCTTCGCACATCATCGGACACCCTCAAGGAAGCAAAACAACTGGTGTACTCAGGTACTGGCTCCCAAGGCGTTTCCCTGGGAAGGTGAGCCCTTTGTCAACCTGTTCCTTAAGGTTGGAAGCCACATGAAGCCACTGACGAGAGTAGGACCAGGTGACGGAAGCCTTTGAAACAACTGGGCGAACGACCCGCCGAGTCTGACCCGGAGGGTCGTACGGCATGGTTTCCTCCACGCGAAGCGGCGGCAGCCAAGATGCTTGTTGGATGGATATGAGGTGAGCCAAAGACGGAAGTCCTCAGTGAGACACAGCATGAATGCGAGTGACTCGATCCCCTTTTTCCTTGAGCATCCAGAAAACCCAATCATTTGTGAGGATGTGCTGACCGTTTTTATTGAATCGGCGCGGTGAGTGAGGATCTGGCGCTTCCGGATTCCGCCTCAAACCGCCCATGCCCCCGCACGTTCTTTGGAAAACGGACTTCCTTCCGAGTATCCTTATGCACCTTCTTGGGATCCTTCTCGTCCAACAGTCGTTCCAAGCGTGGCATCCAGCTCGTGGCCAAATGGCAATTCTGCAGGAGCACCCAACCACCGTCCTCACAAGTCATATAGAGCTCATCTGATGTCACAAGTTTCGGTATATATACCCCAGAGCTCCTGGCCCACCTCCTGAGAAAATGGTTGGCGTGGGTGCCAGCGGGGTCTAACCACCGAACCTGAGGATATGGGACAGGAGCCCTAGGGTTGCTTGTATTTACCTAGGCGCTTCCAATGGGTGTCCAATGGTGACTTTTTTCAGCAGTGGGCTGGGTTGTCTATTGGCAACCCCTTGGAAGCAGCTGGTAGGTTCTTGTTCTGCACGAGAAGCCATGAAATATTCTCCACTTAGGCATCAACATGGTTGGTGGTGTGAATTGGTTTGAAGTCTAAATGGTTGGTGGATGATAGCCATGGGTGCCCCATTCTTCTTTGTATGAATCAATTCTAACACATGCACACTGATCGGAAGTCGAAGAAAAAACGGACAAAACCGTATGCTACTTGTTCACCGGAACCGTTTTGGGGTCCTGCCCTCCCCTCCCCCCAACGCACAAACCACACACATGTCCTCACCGTCCTCACCGTACCGATTGAACCAAGCAGGAGATGGTCCACCTTTTAGCCCCTCCACAACAGAAGAACCTCGACCTCGTCCTCACCGTCCAAACCGCCGGCATCGACCAAACGAAAGGGACCAGATTAGTGACATACCCTACACCTCCTGGCCCACCTCCGTTTCGTTTCGATGGGCCAGTTAGGTGGGTGGATTTGGGGGGTCGAATACCACCGGTCACCTGAGGACAGGAGCCCGAACGGGATACATGAACCCTCCCCCCTATGAAGCATGACCCATCCATATCGGTCACAGGTCCATGGGTCGAAGACCCGGTCCTTGGTGGCGATGTCCATGAGCCGTTCAGCCTTTGGGCCTTGTCCCTGGCCCAAGGAGATGCTCGCCACCTCTCGGCCCTTCCTCGAACGAAGAGGATGGGATCAGTGAATGGAAATGAGGAGTGACGATCTGGCTTGTTAGAGTGAGCAACCTTTGCACAAATACAACAAGGAAAACACTGGAAAACAACATAAATAGACAAATCGATACAATTTGTATCCACATTGTCTGGTCGAATTCGTTCCTGCACAGTTGGGGCTATCATTGGGATGACTGACCTTGGCTGCCATGCCGGGTCATGTTCTCCACCACGCTTACCTGATGGTGGTTGAGGGGTGTTTTCACCGGTCTTCGAAGCGCCAATACCTGGCTGACCTGGACCATTTGGTCATGAAGGTCTGTCGTTCTCGGCGGTCACTGCTGGTCTTCAGACATCTGAATACTGCCCGTCGCTGATCACGTCCTCATCCCGAAACAAAGAAGCCCCGTCTGGAAAGCAGGCTCCGTCGTTCGGGGTGTGAACTTGATCGGTTATTAGCATGTGTTAGCTACCCCAGCCCTACTGGTTCCGCAAAGGACATATCCAAGACATATTCCAAAACCACTGTTGCACAAGCACTATGTGAGGATAGGTTGTGAACCATGTTCACCCGGGTTTAGAGTCAGTCATTCCCAGTTCCACCAGTCATCGCCGGGCACGTCCGTGTCTTTACCCGGCAGGGTCGACAGGGTCAAGCCCAAGCAGCTCCGCAGCGAAGCGGTAGAGATTGGAGCCCGGGTCAGCACCGGGGGAAAGGATGAAAATCAGCGGTGACATGGCCTCAGCGATCACGCCAGGCTCAGCGAAAGCTTGGGGATGGGACAGCTTGATGCACGAGCCGGGATTGTTTGGGTGTCTTGGTCGAAAGTGAATGAAAGTGACCATCACATTATACGGGAGGTTTGGCCTGTAATTGGGGTATGGATTGCACCTGCGCTAGGCTAGATTCTAGATGATTCTTCAAAGCCAAAAGTCATGGTTTGAAAGGGTTCCCGGGTCAAAAAAGAACAATTCCTAAACCTGTTGGTGTTGTCCATCCAACCACATGCAGCCAGAATCAGGAGAGGGTCACCGTCCACTGCCACTCGACCATCAAGGCCACCCAATAGAGTGGCGGTGGCGGAACCTCCCGCTCGGTTCGTTCCGCGTCCGACCCATCCAAGCTGCGTTGGAATCAGCATAGGAGCCCGCCAGATCGAAGGGTGGTGGGTTCACAAACCTCGGCAGCGGACGCTCGGATCCGTAAGACGCGGCGATTCACCAAGCGGGTGGCAAACGCGGGCACCGCGGAGGTTGGGAGTGAAGATGACCGCGGAGGGGTTGAGAAATCGGTCGGACATGGACAAGGCACGACCTCAGGTCGTCACAACTGGCGACATGCCAGAAAAGGGTTGTCCAAAGCGTTGTTGCCTTTTTTAAAGAGGTGGTTAGATGATTTTGGGTGAACCATCGTCCAAGCGAGTTTCTGAAGGTGACCACGAGTGCTGCTCCGGATGTTGGAGCGGCCACCTGAATTTGCGGTTCGCTTCCACAGACTATCCCCTCCTTCTGCCACCTTCTGCCAATCCCAAGCCCAGGCACTTCTCTCCCAGCTTCCCTGCCACGAACTCCAGCACGGCAGGCACGACGCGGTCGGGCCGGATGCAACGCCTGAAGGGAGCTCCGAAGACGGCCCTTGACGAAGGGGTCTCTGGTTTTCCTTTCAAAAAAAGGTGGTTGAGAGGCCTGGACGAGTGCCCTAAAGTGGTACATAAATATGGGATTGGCTATAGGCTGTAGATGGCTATAGGGTTGTTCAACCTCCCGAATTCTGCAAGACACCGCAAAAAACTTGTATGAAAGGTTGATCCATGCTTGACTCCGAACAGGCGCGAGTCCTTCCACCTCTAAAGGTGATTCCATCAGCCCGCAAGTTGTGGGAGGCCAACTGATCTTCCAGTACACTCCGGAAGATGAAAACGACTGGTTTGTAGAGGAGGAGTTGTGTTTTAAGGTCAATTTTCAGGTTCGGGTTCACTGTACCTGCCAGGTTATCTTCAGAACCCAGGCAGGTCCCAAACCTTCAGCCTTTTCGTAGCAAGTCGAGACTGGCCCCTGAGTCACTCCGACAAACACATCACACGGGGCTCGTGGATGGCACCCCCTGTTCGTGATGGTAAGTAGTCTTCCATTCGAGACCATGCCATCCACTTCTATGTTAGTGAGGCAGAGTGCAGTCGAAGCGTGGAGGAAAGAAGATCCAAGTGGCAAGATCATCAAATCCTGGAAATCGTTGAACTCTGCCATGGAGCCGGGTCGAGTCTCCGGCTCCTTCAGCAGCTTCCTGATGCAGTCACTGAGGGGGATCTGCAGGCGAGGTGGGTTGCATTGGGTGCTTGGGGGATCCTTTGACGTACGGGAACTCGTCGTGTCTATGAACAATGTCTCATTCAGGTATCAAGGATCAGGAAGTCTGGAGATCCTTCTCGTGGCAGCTGCTACGGGGTGGTTGCAGGCAACTGGTTTAGGCCCATCAACCTCTATTGTCAGCATTGCTAGGACTACTAAGCCCATTAAAAGAACGAAGAAAACCAACACACGTCATGCCGGCCCAACAAGGCACCAAACCGCGAGGAAGCTAGGGTCACCAGGAACAGTCAAGAAATCATCCAACTCCAACTAAATGTGGCCATATCTGCTGGTTGTTGGTACTCGTTCCAGCCCGCCATCCAAACTCACAAATCGCCCAGCTGGGATCCGAAGAGGAATACCTCTTCGACTCATCTTGGCACCCTCTGTTGTAGCCGTTTCGACTGAAGAGTGACATTTCCACTGAAGATGGCTTGCAGCCATATCATCTGCAAATGGTTTGAAGGTTTGTCACGATCTCACTTGTCTTGCACACATTTGGAGTGTCGCATCTCTTGACTGAGACCGTGCGGGTGTCTTGTTTTCCAAGGCACATGGGGTTCACATCGTCGTAGACCTCAGCAGGGACGAGTGCCATCGCAGCCGCTACACGGACTGAAGGGGGAGGGGTCCCCCACTCAGCGAACAAGGGAGTTGCCGAACGAAGAATGAGTTCTGGCGAAGCCTCGAAGCGGCAACGAAGTTGACTGGAGGTTGGGAGGTTGGGCAAATGTCCAGGACCGGTGTTGTTGTGTGTCGAAGTGCTTCTTTAAGTGAGGGTAGCACAGAAATATATCGCTGGGCTGAAGACAGGACAGGATTTGAACAAAGACTCCAAAGTAGATGTCCAGTTAGATGTCCAGTCACATTCATTCATTAGTGAATTTAACCATGTCTGTCCCTTGATGCACTTAATCAACCATATACAGTCATCTGGACAAGATGATCCACCTCTCGTAGGTAAAGGACGGACCCCAACTCACATCAATATTGCCAACTCTAAAATCCACATCTACTTGACCAAGTCCACAAGTTGATGGTGTCCTTTCGAAGATCTTGGACATTCTTGGACCATGAGAAGGTTCTACAGTAGCTCTATAAAGGTCCCAAGGCTCGCTTGGAAAGACGTGGGTTTTCCCACCGTCCACAAACCCACCGTCCGAAGTCCTCGCCGTCCTGGCCCAAGAGACCATTTTCCACCTCGGCAGTTCCGATGCGAACTTCTCGTGGAAGCCCTGATAGAACTCCTCGGATTCGCGGCGATTCGGCGGCTTCGGCCGGTTCTCCGCGAAAAGGTATACAGGTCATGGTAGGCCTGGAAATCACACCTTTGGAAGTATATATATTATATATAGTTGCTGGTATTCACCGACTTTGGGACTGTGGAGATTCACTGGTTGCTTCCAACAATTCAGTGTACATTGAGGGGGAAGCACATCAACTGTGGGTTGATCTGTCTTTTCGTCATTGAAAAGGACAAACATGGAGGAGCAACTAAGCGCCATCATGCAGTGTAAGCAGTGTTGACTGTGCACAGTTGTTTAATGAAGCCACACACGTGACCGGGAGTACATTCTGGATGGACAACTCCGCAGTTTAAGCGAAGACCAATCCAACTTCGACGGATTTGTGAAGTCAGTCTCCTGACACCCCTTGTCCAATCACCAACCCAGCCACCAACCCTTGCCTCCAAGGCTGCAACCGAATTATATAAAGGAAGTCCTCATATCATCTAAATTAAGTCCATAAGCGCACCAGGAGGTCATGTACAATGTAACTCACACAACTTTCGGATACTTTCTGCGCATCTCCAGCTCTTTGAGGTCTGGGCTAACCCCCTTCATCATAAACATCATCACCATCATCAGTGGCCGATGGTCGGCAATATACATGGTATTACCATGAAAACTGTCAATGCTCCAAAGATGCTGGCTGCAAGTAGGTTTTTAGAGCGTGGATTTGAGGGAAGGAATCAACAAGTATATGAGCAAGTCAAGTCTAGAGAGGCAATACCATTCACTTCACAGTCTTCACACCGACTGGGTACGAACAAAATCATGTATACTTCTACCACTCGAAGTTCACACCGACATCCAAGTCGGCCCGGCACTCCCAAGCAAGACCACACACGAGCCAACATCTCGCCCAACTAAATCATGTGCAGTTATCCAAGTTGTTCCCCTCTTCTTCCTCCTCCTGCGCCCTCCATTTGGGTTCCCAGCTTCCCTTCAAATCCGTGGGGGGTTCCCCCAAAACTGCCATCCCCTCCCCAGACCATCCATGGGACTGGAATAGCGACCTACATGCATGGGTCAATTGAACATGGGATTTTCATCCATGTAACCATTCCAGTCCCATTCGTCTGCTCTGGGCTTCAATTCAGTATCCCCTATATGTTTAATCATTGCATCGGAATGAATTCGTTGGGCCAAAGAGCCATCCCATCACCCATTCCATCCCCATCCCACACCCTCGGAATGCCCATCCCCCTCCCCACCTTGGACTTGGCCAAGCGGAAGAGCTCGCCCCAGCACCGGTCCGGAACCCAGTCCGCCGGCCGCGCGGGGGGATCTTCCAGCGAGACGCCGCCCGTGAGGAGGAAGCCTTGGTGGGAGTGGCGGCTGGGGCTGGAGAGGCTGGTTGGAGTGGTAGGGTTAGCTCAAAGACCTCGTATTTTGTTCAGCTGTCATGTGATGTTATGTGGTCAGGCACTCCTGCCAGCTACAAGTACCTTTAAAATGTATCCTCTACAAAACCGCTCTTTGCATGAAATGTCGCCTAATTGAGTGACAGTGACAGGGACTCTGCTGACTCAGTCGACTGCTCTGCTCTCCCCACCCTCCTGCAACCCTTCGGATGGAAGTTCTCCTATCGTTCCATCCATCCCGAGGGGCGGTAATCGTCGTAGTCCGCCTCTTCACTGGACAACAACAGGCGCATGCCTCAAGAGGACGGGGAACCACATGACTGCAAGAACGACCTCCATGGGGTCTTGAGGTGAGCTCCACTGAGTGGGTGTTTAGGGTTTAGGGTGACCCATGGAGTGTTGGGGTGATGACATGAGATGAGGTGCATGAGGTGCATGAGGTGCTTGTTCGTGGGTTTGGGTTGCATGGCATGTTCTAAAACTTGCATGGCAGATTACTGAGCAGTGGCAGTTCTCGCATTTTGCGGTCACAAGTGGTAGGTTGAGGTACCCCCCAGATCTGCTCAGAAGAACATCAAAGGCCACAAAAGGTTGACAAAAGCAAAGGACTCCGGGTCAAAAACAACACCTGCATGATACGTATGCTTTGTTTTCATTATATGCTTTGGGTGTATCCCACTACCAGTAACAGTGGATTATGATGGTTATTAGATGCCTTTCTCAAAAAGTCGTGACAATGTGTTATCAACTGTTACTTGCAATGGGACAACGACCCGTAGATATGCTATACTTGCATGGCCTTTGCATGCATGATGGGATATGATGAGTAGATCCCTGCAAATGAACCTCCAGTTTCCAAGGTGCCTCCGTATCCTGGAAGGTATCTGTCGGATCTCCTGCGAGGGTGTTCCTCAATAGGTCCAGGGTTTGCCTCCTTGCTGCTCGACTTCTGGCCTTCCAGGGTTGTTATCAAATCTGCCGTAAGGTCCAGGTCCAAACATCCCGAAATGAGCCAGGCTGCAGGCTGAAGAACCCTTTTGGGACTATGCCATAGGTACCCCCGCAGGGTCCTAGTTCAGGTCCCTTAACCTCTCTTGGTGAGTCAAAATGTTGAGTTTACCGCGAAGAACATGCGGTAAATCTGGGCGTAGCGGCCTACACCCTAGACCAAACACGGCGACAAGTTCTTCGACTGTGAGAATGAGACAGCCCAATCAAAGTAGAGGACCCAGCATGGTCGTCAAGTCAAGCCACACAACAGGAAGGAGAAGAGCGTCTTGTGCTTCTCGAAGAGACTTCGGCAAATATTGCAGTAGAGCGTGTATCGGAACCTCAGGAGCCAAAACCCTTGTGAATCCTGTGCAGGTGGAGGGTTAGTTGTTGATGGTTGTGGCTGCAGCAAGCCGCCCCGAAACACAACTACAGGTTTTGTCCATCTGATCCTTTAGCCTCAACACCTTGAGGGCCTTAAGTTGTGAGAGATGTTTGAAGTTGTAAGTGTAAGATGTAAGATGTTCACATCCTTAGTTTTGAGTGTAAGATGTAAGTGCGTTACACCTTCACCTCCAAATGTTCGTCATATCAACCCAACTTCCCGGCCAAATGGGCTGGCCTCTCTCAGGCGGGGAAGTTGATTTCGCCAAGGTGAGCCGCGCCAGCAGTTCGCGTCGCGCCAGCGCATGCGATGGGTGATTCCTTGAATGGACTATTGAACCTATAGCCTATAGGCATGATCTTCAAGTAACCCATGTATTGTCAGAAACCGTCCCACTTCTTGATGCACGCGTGAACGCAAACAAAAATAAGGCTGTGTCGACCAGATGGTCGCCAAGGCCAAGGCACGTATCATTCAGATTCTCAATGCGTTTCTCCAAGTCCTCGCTCTGTTCCGCCTTCTCAATGGAAGAGAGGAAAAGGCTCACCTAAGTGAATGGTGATGGCTCCAGTCTTCCCAACGTGGTGGCTTTATGTGGTTTTGCAGCAGGAAGAACCCCAAAATGACGTTCCAAGAAATGCCATGAGGGAGTGTATCTTCTTGGTGCATGTGGTGGAAGAACTGGCCTGAAAAATAAACAAAGCCGTCCCTCAATGCTTCTCTTCTGGGAGCTGATGGAAGCCTGCCTCTCACCGCGAGTGTATGGACCCTCGTCACCTTCAGCTCAACTGCAAGAACTGTTGGACACTCGCGACTCTTGGCAAGCATAGCAACCGGCAGAACGGGTTTTTATATGGTTCTGCATTGCAAGTAGAAATGCATCTCTGGTGGTTCAGAGCCCGTGTATCCCATACATGCGCATCATTCTGCATCAGGTTTTACCCAAATTGACTGCATATGACTGCATCCTTCGTCTCTTGCACCTCCCAAAAGCAACCCAGCCATGGCTAACTAAACGCCCCCCCAAACAACACACGGGGGTGCGACGGACCCGGACCGGCCAAGCAAGGTGCGAAGAAGGGCAAACTGTACTGATACATGGGGTCGATGTTGGCCTCAGCGATGTCGTCTGAACCGGGAAATCGAGGAACGGATCAGTCCAGGAAGCGAGGGAAACGGAATCATATGTGAGGAATATGATCATATGTGACTCCCAGTTACCACTATATAAGGAACCAGTGGAACCAGGGATTCTAGGTCTATGGTGTGTCTTTGGAACCACTGGTTACCAGCTATAGTGGTAACTGGATGCCCTGGGTGAGGTTTTCGGACGGACATTTTTTCCGGGAATTGTTTTCAATTTTTACGGATGTTTTTTTCACATTTTTTCCCCCACTGTTTTTGCTTTTGCTTTTTGCTTTGGCTTCTGCTGGGAGTGCAAGGGCAGGGGACGAAGCGCCAAAGCCAGCGTGATGGAGAGAAAGGGAGGGAAACTTTTTGCTTTGGCTTCTGCTGGGAGTGCTTTCCAAGCACTAGGAGCAGCAGAAAGGGACAGAAAGGGAGGGAACAGAAAAAGTATCCCACTCACTATACGGACTTCTTTGCGGTTGTCTTTGGGCTTCACTGGTTTCGGGTTTCTTTGGGCTCGGTTTCTTGTCCTTAGGGGGTGCTTTAGGTGTTCTTCCGGCTTCATTCTTTTAGAATTGTCAACTTGGAATGGCCACGTCCTGCTCTAAATTTTGCCCTCCAGTGGCTCACCAAAGGGTGAGCCAACTTGGGAGGGCAACATCCTTCTTCTCTAAATTTTACCCCTGCATGGCCCACAAAAGGGTGAGTCAAG